CAGGGTATTTTGTAAATTACATTATTTTATCTAATTAGATCAACATACAGAGTCCTTTAACTTGTCCTCCTTAACTTATCCTATCTGAGTGAGTTTTTTAGGTCTAAATGTCATTCTAATTCCTTCCTGCTTTATTGAGAATCCTACGTAGGGTCTCAAACGACCCCTCCTCATATGGTAAAACTGTAGATGACGTATATCCTCTCTTAGTTATGTTATCATTATTAAATTAATCATTATTTGTCTTTTGCTTTTGGCCTTTTCTGATCTTCCTAATGAATTTTACAGGATAATTACTTTACACCAACGCTTTCTCTTCTTCCATCTGTTTCATTTCTTCACTTAAGTCTCTTTTTGTACTACATAAACCTAATGCTCGGTTTGTTAGACACCTGACTAAGCCTGCCTTCACAGAGAGATAATGCATGAGGTTATGAATTAAAGTCTATATATATATATATATATATATATATATATATATATATATATATATATATATATATATATATATATATACATATACATATATATATTAGCAGAATGTAGACGCTGACAAAATGCAGAGTCTTCTAAACGCCTTGAGCCGCAATCTACGAATGTTTGGCATGCGATTCGCTCCCGCCAAATGCAAGATGATGTTACAGGACTGGACTACACCGACGCCTAGTTTAAAAATGGGAAGTGAAGTGGTAGAGCACGTTGACCGCTTCACTTATTTGGGAAGTACCATCAGCCAACGCCAACGGGTTGATCTCTGACGAAATCTCAGCACGAATACAGGGGGCTCGTTTCGCATTCGCCAGTTTACGCCGACTCTGGCGTAGACGAGATGTTCGACTATCATCGACCAAAGGGCGGGTGTACTGCTCATCAGTCTGCTCCGTCCTCCTTTATGGCTGTGAGCGAGACCTGGCCACTGAGAGTGGAAGACATGAAAAGACTAGCTAGCTGTCTTTGTTCATAGGTGCCTGCGTTCTATTTCCCGTGTTAAGTGGCATAATAAGGTGAGCAACATTGAGGTTAGGCTTCGGTCGAGTGCTAGGTAAACAGGGGAAATCAATCGACGAAGTCGTGAAGTTACAAAGACTGAAATGGTTAGGACATGTGTTACGTACGCCTAGCCATCGCCTTTCCCGACCGACGAGCAATGCTGGCTGATATAGGGCCAGGCTGGAAAAGAGCTAGTGGTGGTCAAACCAAACCATGGCACCAGTCAATGAAATCCACAACAGTTGGTCTAAGCCACGTAGGAAGGTGTAGACTTCCAGGCTGGGGTCCTCGGGACGGTAAAAATCTATGGTTGGAAACAATTGGTGACATGGCTCAAACTCATCGTTCTCAGTGGCGCAGATGCATCCACTCCCTGTGACTTATGATCTTCAATGAAACTGTTTTGTTCTTCATTATTACCCCTCCTGTCTCACACCTCTGCTCACTGTCTCTATTATGCTTTTCTTGTACTTTCTTCTCTTGCTTCGCGTGCTACACAGAGTGTGGCGACTTGAACTTCCGCACAATTGTGCAAAGTTCTATGTCGAAAACAGACAGACATTTAATGCTAGTACGCTTATTAAGTCTTCCATATACCATCCAGCAGATGCTACAAATGAAAAACATGATCAATTTCCTGGTTTTAATACAAATGATATCTATTCAGACATCTGTAAAACACAAAATAATTGACCAAAGAATATCGTTTTCAATAATTTCCTCTTCTGACTATATAATTATATATATGTTTATATATACATAGAATATTCTAGAATAGTAGTCAATAACAATATTAGTGTTTTCTAAATAATATCGATTTGTAAATTAAGATCACGATGGAATTACAGTTCATTAAAGATGCATAAATTATAATAATGATAATAGTAATAATAATATAATAGCAAATAGAATATTAACTAAAATTGGGAAATTTCCACAAAATTTCAGGACCATTGAAACCTAGATGGCTAATGTAAGGATAATATCTGAGCTAACTTCTTTTAGACGCACAAATTAGGCTTCTTTAATATGGATCTCAACAGCGTCAGCAATATTTAGTAGTCGAACTCTTAAGGCAAAATTCAGATTTGTTGGTATGCGGTAAATAACTTTGAAAGCTGCCTGGTTAACATTAGTCTTGTTTTCCGTAACCACAAGAGATAGAATAGCGCTACGAACAGATTTTGTTTGTCCTTTAATTAGTCAGTCACACAGGAAATCCAACGACCAACACTCCTAACTGCACGGCCTATGTAACTAACTGCCTCACTCCACAGGAGCAGTTAAATTGATAGATACAGATGGAAGAGGCGAAATTAGGCAGTTTATCTTTTACTCCCGAACGCAAAAGAGGAGTGGTTTTGAAGACACAGCGTAATTCAGTAGTAGGGAATGCTCTTTTTACCTCATTTCTAAGGCGTTGTGTTCGTATCTCGCTGATATTGTCTCCAAGGAACTGCATTTGTAAGAATAAGGCCTTTTTACCAACTGTTGGTAACTTTGGCTGCTTTGATTTTAGATTCATATTCTTATCAATAAACTTTTCTGGATAACCGTTTTCACTTAGCAACCGTTTTTAATATTATTATCCTCATCCTCATCAAGACATTCATCCGAGCAGATTGCTCTTGCTCTGCGTTTGTATTTTTCGGGCAGGAAGCTGAAAAAATGAGGTTACTGACCCGGTGATGTAGGTTTTCTACATACACTTCCTCTTATTGTGCCATCCTCTTTCCTGGTCCCAAGGAAGTCTAGAAATGAAATACCAGAGTTTTTTTCTTTCTCAATAGTGAAATTTATTGCAGGATGAACCTCGTTAAATTTATCCAGGATGTTCTTTGCTTCCTTCTCATTTTCCATAATCAAAAATGTATCGTGCATGTATCAACAATAGAATTCAAGTTCATCAATAACATCCTTCAAAGGCTTATTTTCCAGTTTCGCAAGGAATTTGTCGGCTAGAATGAGTCCTAATGGTGACCCCATTGCTATACCGTCGATTTGTCTATATAGTTCCTTATTAAATAAAACTGAACATTCATTGTGTATTTCAAGAGAGGCTCTTTTATAAATGATATATGAATACCGTTATCAATGTTCCGTCTTATGAGTTCTTCGCATACAAAGTCTACTGTTTCCTTAAGTGGTACATTGGTGAATAAGGAAGATTCGTGAAATGATATCATGAATTTATTGCCAGCATTTAAATCAACAAATGCGAAAGTATCCTTTACACTGTGTTTCATCAACTCGGTATGAACAGGCTGTCCTCAAATATCTCCAGATCATGAAGCCTATCTAATCCCTAGGTCGAGATGGTGATCCCACTATTATTTTTAGGAAATGTGACGATATTCTTTGTCAGTTTCTGCAAATGTTGTGCGTGTTTCTTTTCAGAAAGACAGCAAGATTGTCTCTCCACGGTAATCATCAATTGGATAATGATGTGATAAGTTTAATTTTCAAGTATTGGCTTTGTAGGGATTTCGTTTGATTGTATGAAGGATTTCACCATGAGCTGACATCAGTTAGAGAACCACTGGAAAACAGGCTGAGAGTACTGGACAGCTGTTTCGTCCTAGTTTTGAACTCTTTAAATCGACTACTATTACCTCACCATTTCTAAAAATAATGGAAAAAACTTGCTCTTACTTAAGCATGAACGTTCATTGAAGGCTTCCAGTGACTCAAAACAACTTGCATACAAACATGGTGGATATACTTTAGATGCCACTGTTGTCTTGCATAATAATTTTGTCTTAAGTATAGAAAAAGGTATTAAATATTTTTGTTGTACCTTCCTAGAATACACATCTACCTTTGACTTTGGACCCACACCTCTTTCGCTTAACAAATTGTGATATGAACAAGGTACTGGATTGGTGAGAGGCCGCATTCTTATTTTTCCGTTGGGAAGTTGCACACTGTATGTAAAAAGAAGTATTCCACTGGTTTATCTACTCTAGCCGGTGTCCTTTAAGGTGCTGTCCCCTTCTTCCTCTCTGTTTTCTTTCTTTAGTCATTCCTGATGAAGTCGATTTGGTAGCGAGCATCAGACTAATTTTAAATTTTTTTCTTTCGTCTCTTCATTAGTATTACTTTGTCTTTACAAGTGTATTATTTTACATTTTCAACTTTCCTGCTTTCCACCCCCACCCGACTTAATTTGGACACCTCACTATTATCACTGTTACTGACTTGACCAACGCTCACTTTCTAGTCATTCATGTTACGTCATCCAATTTATTTGCTCAATTTTAGTTCTAATTTAAATGGTATTATTCTTCACCCCACCTTTACTTAGTCTCTACCTGGAATTACCCCTGTTAATATCCTGACCTTAGTTGAAACATTTTAGTCAATTACACTACGTCATCTAACTTACTAACTCAATCTTACTTTAGATGTTGTCTAATTAACCTTGTTTCTATATTAGATCATTCTTGTATTGCCTGATCAATTATCTAAACTTGATAAACCTCATATACACACGTAAACACACACACATAGTTGTATATAAATGTAATTGTATAGCTCTGTGAATGCATTCGCCGTCAAAAAGAGTCTCTTCACTGAATTTCTTCTCTTTTCCTGTATGGTTCAATGGGGATTTTTAAGCTAATTCTTCACAGTCAGACTGTAGTGATTGGATTCGTCTCAAGTGTCACCGCCATAGATTGTTATTGATTAGCGAACCATTGGAAACTAGCAGGGAGTACTAGACAGTTGTTTCGTCCTAGTCTCTTTTTCAGTCACATCACCGGAAGAGTACGCCCCCATTGGAGAAGGGGTTTCGAACCTAGGACTATCCCCAGTTGTTACAAGGCGAGTGTTCATAGACCCTTGAAAGCCACTGGAACTTAACCCAAAAGTAAAGGGATAATCGTTTAAATAGCCGAAGTGATTATATTTTTGTTACACACTTATATAAAATAAAGACAGAAGAAGAAAGAGATGCGGAGCGACGGACGGGGTGATTTATTCAATGAAATCATCAAATAATTTATATATATGTATATGTATATATATATATATATATGTTATAAAATTAACAAAACAAAAAAAATATTCAACAGAATAGAGAAAAGTACAAGAAGGCACTTGGAGTGTAGCGAAGAGATGAAAGACATTTTTTGAAGGAATATAACCACTACACGCACGCACATACAGGGATTACATCGTGTCAGCAGAATCCATCTTTTGAACAAGTTTCATAAGATATGCCATAGGTACACTACCAGGTCGGATATGATGTACAATTGTGCATAGTTTCCCCGCTTCCAACCACATATCTTTATCACGCAAGAGTATACACAGCAATCGACCAATTTTACAGCGAACAACAGAATTACTAAATTCAAGGAAATTTATCAGTGAATTGAACATTTTATGAAATATTTTACCATAAACAATAGCTGGATAATATGAAGTATTAGGTAGACTTAACCATAAATTCGGATTACTGCATATAAAATAACAACAAACATTACTGTCAAGACAATGAATCACTGACTCATCGCTTAACATGGTTACAAGAGATAATACAGTGTTGATTACTTCTATAGACGATTGCATTAAACCAACATTGAGTATAGCAGCTTGATACGCAGATGGATAAACGGTGGATTTAACTAAATCCCCTAATGATGGTGATGAAGATGAAGAGGAGGCTGAGGTGGAGGAGCCAGAGTAATATTCAGAGAGGATTTTCAATCCAGCTTTAGCAAATTCAACCGGTGGAATACAACAGCTTGTCCAGGCATATATCAATAGTTGAGAGTTGCACAAACCATTATCCAGAAAGACTAAACCAGATTTTTGACAATACTGATACCAATGTGTCCATAATTGTTGTAGGAAATCACTTTTCTCTGGAATGATATCTAAAATAGAGTGATGCAAGCCAATAGAAAGAATGATTAGTAATTAGAGGAAATAATATATATAATATAATAATGCATCGGTGGCACAGCGGTTAGGACTCTCGCCGACTATGCATATGGTCTGAGGTTCGATCCCATGCCAACGCACACCCGATATCTATGGTGCGTCTGCGAAATTTGGGCTACCGATAAAACATGCTGAAAGTTCCATACCTGTACCAAAAAATACGGTGTGAAATCAAGCTGCAATCAAAAAATAATAATAATAACCCACTCCAATTAATATTTAGACTTCGGATTACCACACCTCATCAGCGCAAAGGTATCAGTTGTTTCAAGTCTACTTAGACGAGCACACTCTTTGATGTTAGCGGATTAGAAGGAAAAAGAAGAAATATCAAGCATTACTGAAACTCTCCTCAAGCAAAACAACTACCCAAGGAACTTCATCAACAAAATCAACACTGACATTAATCAAGTATGGTCGAAAACGTATTCCGAAAACATGAACCTCAACAGCTGTCAATCATTTCATATAGAGCAGAGATGTCAGACGATATCAGAAGAGTACTCAATAAGCTCGACATCAGTGTTTTCTTCAAAACATCAGACACACTTCAAAGGAACCTTGTCCATATAAAAGACTAAATCCCTAAAGATTCTCTATCTAATTGTGTCTATAAAATAAAACACTCGGTATGTGATTAGATATACATTGGACAAACCTCGCAAGGGAGAAGTTAAAATCAATAGAGCATCTGTTCGACCACCACCAAGAAATCCACTTTAACTAGAGAAGCTTGAAAAATCATCAGCCAGGGGTGGTCTACACGCAATAGGATCAGGTCACAAAACTGATTTTCACAATATTGAAATCATCACCCATCGTCTCTCTGAATCAATGGAGTTGCTTCACAACCTCATCGATTGATTTCCCCTCTCACCTACCTAGTACTCGACCGAAGTCTAACGTCAAAATTGCTCACCTTATTATATATACCATTTCACACGACAGATAGAACGTAGGCACCTATGATCAAAGACAGCTAGCCAGCCTTCTCATGTCTTCCACTCTCAATGGCCATTTCTCACTCATAGCCATATAGAAGGACAGAGTGGACTGCTGAGCAGTACACACACCCTTTAGTCGATAGCCAGCCGGATATCACGTCTACACCAGAGACGGCGTAAACTGACATATGTGAAACTAGCCCTCTGTATACGTACTGAGATTTCGTCAGAGATCAACCCGTTGGCGTTGGGGCTGATGCACCTTCCCAAATAAGTGAAGCAGTCAACGTGCTCCTCTACCACTTCACTCCCTATTTCTAAACTAGGTAGGAGTCAGTGTAGTCCAGTTTAGTCCCGTAACATCATCTTACATTTGGCGGGAGTAAATCGCATACCGAACATTCGTAGATTGCAGCTCAAGGTGTTCAGAAGACTCTGAACTATTTTGTAAGTATCTTCACCTAGAAGGACTATATCACATCTGCATAATCTAAGTTAACGAGATTATTGGTCTCATAGCCTGAAATTCCCGAAATTCGATTCCTGGTTGGGTCATGGATGCGTACCACCGAAAACTCCCAAGCAAGCTATGAGGAGACAACAGCTCAGTGCTCCCAGATAGTCCGAATAGTTCTCAACGATCACTCTAACCGATGTGTTGGTTTGTCACGAAATCTAGCCAGCGAAATTAAACTAATAATTCAAAATCCTAATAATCCAAATTAGAAAATAAACAAAAGCGTGTTGTGTTGCTTACCATCATTAAAAATCAGATCGACTAATTCAATAACTGATCTTATCAGTTCAGCGTTGTCCCTTAGCGAAAAGGTGTCTTCCATCATATCGCCCACTGATTCTTTGCTGCTACATTTTCCAGAGGTAGAAATTTCATCAATTAGCCTTTGAATGCATCGTTTTAATTCATCAACGTTATTATCGTCAACATCATCGTCATTATTATTATTATTTATACACAGAAGTTTATCCCATTCGTCGCCTGATAATCTTGAGGATGACTTGAATGTCAACAGTAAAGATTTTATAGTTTTAGAGAATATTGACAGAACATCACTGGACAATACATCACTGGTTTGCCAATCATTGCCAATCTCTGTATACGAGGCTAATAGACTGGCACCGAATAATCGACGAATTGTTGAATTGGCTAGTAAACAGACTAAAAGTTGTTCAGAGTTGACACGAGGAGGAGAAGAAGAAGAGGAAGGATCATCATCACCAACACCAACACCAACATCATCAACATCACTGTCACTGATAATAAAGAGATCAAGAAATTTTTGAAGATATGGATAGATTGATTGTGCTTGTGAATTTACAAACGCCAGCGGTTGTTCTGTTTGTTTGTGTCCAGTGATATTAGATTGTGTAAACACTTCATAGCGTAATTCAAAAACTGATGGCAGTATACAGAAGTAGGCTGACAAACCTTCACATAGAATATCAATCCAAATCTGGATTATAAGAAGAAACATAATAATATGAAATAATTATAATTTGCTTTTGATTTAACACTAAGTCAGTAAGTAGTGTAATGTGTCTAGTCCCCATTCTAGATGCCTAGCCATCACGGTGCACTTTGAATTGTTGATATTAGACGGTTGAAGACAATCGGACACAGGAAATCTTGCTCGATCTAAATTTTGTGCTAGTTGGCACCCACCAGTCAACAAGGTGTATCTGCAACCTTTAAGGAATTCATGTCACTTCGGAGATTCGAACCTGTGTCACCCAGTGCCGGCTACAGTCAGAGACGTCAGATGCAAGCCTCAGTTAACAGCCTATGGTACACTCATTGACTGGATAACAGTTTCAAGGAGAACCGAACACACCTACCTCTGCCTTTTGCGAGACGAGACGAGCATGCAGTATCACTATGTGGTGCAATCACTCGACAGCCCTATCCCTCGGTGGACCATGACATAAATGCATACATACACTGATATATTGGAGAAAACACATATTAGAAATAAACAACGACAAGAAAACAGTCAAGTTCTCACATTATGATTATACATACTAGATAAACACTTTAATTACAGCGTTAAGATTACCTGATTACGTAACAGACAACTAACTTTGTTTGTTCCTATGCATTCTGAGTGGTACAATAAGGCTTCAAGTCCGAGCTCTGAAGATTCAGTACCAATGGTGTTGCTTTTTACAGAGTGGGGGATTGCTAGCTTCACCTAGCCCAACCTTCCCAATTTACGCAACTTACTACTGGCTAAAAATGAGGTTTAAGAGTGTGTCAGCCAGGGATCGAATACTGGACCACGAGTGCAGTAGTTGACGATAGTTCTACAACTGAACTACCGCTGCACAAAACTATTTTTATTATATGTATTACATTATGAGCGCATCATGAAAAGCATATCTAATACGCTAGTGATAACTTGAATCAACACCTGTCCACTTAACTCGATAATACTAAAGATCAAATGGTCAGGCAGAAAGGATAAGCATGAAGGAACACTGTGAAGCCAGCAGTCAACTAACCAAGAACCTAATTGTTTCAAGTTTGGCCATCACAGATTGATATTAGAGAACCATTGAAAACCAACAGTACCAGACAGACATTTTGTCCTAGTCTCTTGGGAGTCATCGGCAGTACACTAGCATCACACTTGGAACCCCGGGCCTTCCAGTTCCACGCCAAACACCATTCAACAGTCGGAATCTCGCCCGATAGGACATGAATCTTAATCTGATGCTTGCTAGTGACCGCCTACAGGATGAAGTTAGTTGACGGGAGTTCGAGTAAGAAGTAATGACCAGTAGGGTCCACTCCATCAGGAGTGCAGACAAATACTCCCCGACGACATTGGCTGGTGGTCGAGCTAAAATCACGAATCGGTATAAGTTGGAATTCTTGAGCTGGCTATTGGATCGACTTCGAGTGGTGGAATGGTGCATGAGGTTATAGTGTAAACTGAAAGTCCTGGGTTCAAACCCAAGTGGGTGCGCACCGATGAAGAGTTCCAAACTAGGACGAAACAGCCATCCTGTACTCTCTGCTGGTTTTCCAATGTCCCTCTAAATTATGTCAAACCCCCTTAGCCAGTCAAATCCCTGCAAAGGAACGAACACTTGATAATCCTCAAATTTTCAAGTTTTGGTTTTGTAGGGATTTTGTTTGATTGCATGGAGGATTTCATCATAAGCTGACACCAGTCAGGGAACCACTGGAAAACCTGGAAGTACTGGTTGGCTGTTTCGTCCTAGTTTGGGATTCTTCAGCGGTACGCACCCACCAAAGGGGTTCCAACCCAGGACCTTCTGGTTACAAGGCTGGTGAGCTAGTAGACCATTGAGCACCTGGGACCCTACTGGGGTTCTAGTGGGAAGCCGTAACCAGTAGGCTACGGCAGGTTGAAGACGAGGCAGCGACTCATCGAAGAAGACATTGCGAAATGGTCACTCTCCATGTCGTGAATTGGCAGAGGTTAGAATTCAGGCACCACTGGATCGGGTCCCAGTGGCTGATTAATGGCCTACGAGTTCACTAGCCTTGTAACCAGAAGGTCCTGGATTCAAACCCCGTGGTGTGGGTGCGTACTGATGAAGAGTCCCAAACTAGGAAGAAACAGCTGTCCAGTAATCCTGAAATTGTCAATTAAAAACCAATGAGTGATTTTTACTAAATACAACGAACAAAATAACATACTTCTGTATCAATTTTGAAAGTTTTCAAACACGACGGTAACAGTTTGCCGAGTGTTTCTAAACTTGCAGAAATTTTCATACTAACAGACGAAGTAGGAGAAGAATAAGAAGAAGAATTCACAGAAGGCTTTACAGCAATGATAAGTTCTTTCAAAAAATTCAGCATATCTGATTGGTTGTCATCTGGTTTCATACTAATTAACTTTTGATAAAATTCTTTAGGTAAAGCATATTTATTCTCAAAATTTCCACTGATGTCGATTTCATCAGTTTCACTGGCTTGTTGACTATGTCGACTTGTCTTTCTTTGTGGGAATAAAATATTATTGAGTAAATGAGTAATGCGTTTAAAGTGTTCCACGTAAAGTTTAATGCTTTCTTCAGCAGTTCTCCATTCTGAGCCAATAGATCCACTGCTCATCCTGGAAGTAGAATAGAAGAAATGAGGACACATGAATAAAAACAAAAAATTGAGCAAAGAAATCCACCGTCAGTAGTCGCCTACCCTACCTTCTTTGTCGAACAATGTTTACTGACAATAAGAGTTAGGTTAGAAAAGAGTTAGGGATTGGTCAAAACAAAACCTGGCATCAATTCATGAAGTCTTTAGCTGTTTGGTTTCAGGCAGCCACGAAGACGGATGGTAGTGTAGACGGTCTGGTTGACAAATTCAAGATTCGAACAACCAGTGGTTTGAGACTCTGGATTATATGGTTCAGAATCCCATTCAGTGGTACAGATGCAATCACTCCTTATCATCTTCCAGATCTATTAAGTCCTCTTTCTCTCTCTGTACACTTGCTTTCATCATAGCTCTTTCGAATTTTCTCCTTTTTCCTTTACTCCACCTTTGTGGGATATATAGAATGTGATAAATTGGACTGGTTCTACGCTCAAACTCAGGCTCCACTTTATTCGTAGCCTCTTACTTTTATTATTATTGTTTCTTTTAGATCCTAAAGGAACATAGGGTCTCAGCAGCACGTCTCCATTGCGTTCGGTTCGCTGCAAACGTTTTAACCTGGCTACACGTCTGCCCACATGCTTTGATATCCTCTTCGCACCACCTCCTCCATGTCACTCTCGGACTGACGACCAACTCGCCGCTTCCCTTTCGTGCTCCACTCGAGCGATGGCCTGACGTGTGATGTCACTTGATGGTTTCCTCAGCGTATGTCCAATCTACCTCCATTTCTTCCTGCCTATTTGTTTCACAATCGGTTCGTGGTTGGTTCGCTCCCAGAGATCCCTGTTACTGATCTTTTCTGACCATCTGATCTTGAGTATTGAGAGAAGACAGATGTTAATGAAGGTTTGTAGTTTGTTTGAGGTGCTCTTCATGATGCGCCAAATCTTTGATCCGTATAGTGAGTAGTACTGACTTCACACTGGAGTTAAAAATCCGGATCTTATTTTTCTTGCTGAGTGTTGTTAACCTCCACGTAGACTTGAACGTGCATAGACTTAAGTGCTCTGATATCCTCATCAGTTTCGTCCGCTTGTAGTTGAAACGATGCTTCCCAGGTAGGTAGGTAAAGGAGGTTGCTTCTTTAAGATTTCTCTCATTTATGCTGATTGTTGTCTGTTGTTGTTGTCGTTGCTGTTGTCGTTGGCCAGGAATCTTTATCACCACATCTGTTTTATCTATGTTCACCTGAAATCCTAACTTCTCTGGATGCTTCTTCTGCCAACTTGTTGCTTTTCATTTGCATATCTTCCAGTTTGTGAGAAGTCAGACATATATCATCGGCGAAGTCCAGATCCTCCAAATTTTTTTTTGTGTGGTTCAATTTTATCCCCGTTTCCTGGCTAAAATTCAGGCTCCACTTTATTCGTAGTCTCTTATCTTAGCCCGCCTTATCGATGTCAATCATATTACTGATATTAACAAAGCTAGCAAGCCATCAGAATCTATACGATGAAGTTGGAGCTGTGTGTGTTCAGAAGAAATTTGTACAGTCACTTTCTTTTTACTATGGCGATCTTTGTATGAGCGTAAAAACTGACTATCTCAACCTCTCCATCTACTTCTCGCCGTCCTATTTACAAGTTAAACAATATACAAACTGACTTACTGAGTGACTGACTGGCTAAATGGTTTTTGAACAACAAAATTTCCGCAGAAGTGCACCACTTCAAATTGCCACACACTCCATGAATCACAAAAAGGAAGACAAAATAGAGGCAAAAAAAAGAGATTCAAGAGGATGATAATAAAAAGAAATGTGAGTCTGTCGTATACTGTTGGAGTGGTCGAATTGTACTGGCGATCAGCGCGTCTGTGTCCAACACGACCATCCCATCTTATTTCAACCTCGACGTATTGCGAACACATAAGAGAGATACAATTATATCCTTATTCATATGGAGAATTCAAATATGTTCGCTACATATTAAAGCTTTCGCTGTCTTGAAGGAGGAACAATGAAAGCTTCACAATAAACGAGGCTCAGAGATTACAAACCAAATCAAAATCATCCACCTGAGTTAAAAATCTTCTCTACACGAAAAGAATGTCACAAGTATAAAATAATATGAAATAAAAGTTAAACGAATCAACATACTTACCTTGAAGTGTATAATTGTGATACCTCCAAAATAAAATGACGTTGTTTTATAGACAAGTGTTGACTAGAAAATTCACTGTACAGCAATTCATTTAACCAATTCATAAATCTGGTAACATCACGTGAAGTATTTCCTGGCGAAATGAACTTAAACAGTCTCATCAATGCATCAGAGTTATTTTTTGCATAAGATTTATGTTCCGATATATTATAAAATATTCTCATAGCATATATTGCATAGACATCACCCACATGTAATGGACTGAAGTGATTTTTGTTATTATCATCACCGGCATCATCATCAGTTTGGATCTGTTCCACAACCTTGCCGACAATCTCAGCATCATGTTCACTTTTTAGATAATTAAATAGGGAATGTTTGTGTAGCTGTGATAGAGGTTCATGCAGAGATTTGAGAAATTCTTGATAACTCAATCGATTGACGCAGAGATTGTGGTCATCAGTAGTAGTAGTAGTCACCTCTGGTGTTTTGCATAGAATTGTTAATATTTTTCGATGTAATTCGATTGTTATGCCATCGAATAGACAAGTTTCACATTCAGCGGGTAGCAAATGGAAAAATAAGCGTATCTGTTCAAATCCTGACAAAAAGGGATATATATTCTTTTCACTACGCTGAAGTAGAATTTCCCGCCCGTTTGGAAGTTTAAGAATCCATTTAATCAGGGTGTTTATCTTCTGTTTGATTGTATCACTTGCTGGGTAGTCTTCATCACGGAATAAATATTCTAGTCGGCAAAATAAACCTTCAAGTTGAGAAAGGCTATAACAAGTGCACAAGCGTAGACCAAGCGAGAAATGTGTAGCACACAGACCATATATGCTATCTTCTCTGTAAGCTTTATCCTCACAAAAACGTGAATAATCTATACCCGGGAATCGGTTAACTAAACGCTGAGTTAAACTTTCTCTAAGCACCAATAAACAGGCATTAATCAGCTGTTTGCGAAGTTTACCAAATTTACTACTGAAATCTTTACTAGTAATATATGAACAATATGCTGAGGATAATTCTACGCCGGATGGAAAACATCCACAAGCAAGACAATATTTGCTATGCATATTTTTTGATTCATAAATTGATATTAGAGTATAACACATGAGAACTAAAGCAATACGACATGTGTTATCAAATGTTTGTGAATGATTCGTTGATGCCTCCTCGAGTAATGGCAGTATAACAGAAGTGATTTGATCTAGGTAGGATGTTTGTGAAGCGGAGAAGAATCGACAGAATTTTGCACCAGTACCTGCATAACTTAAAGATAAACGTGTATCACGTGAAGCTGTCTGTAGAATAGCCTTAGCCCAAACACTGGCAGCGTTAACACTTTCCTGCCCGTCACCATCATCATCGATGACAACAACGGTAGCCTTTATTGCATCATTACATCTTCCCCAATTGAATAAAAATGCAAACCATAGACGATGTTCTTCAGCGCCATAATTTATACTATCAATAGGTGCTAGAATATCAACGGTAGTATCCGAGATCATCATCAATTCACTGATGGATAAACTATCACTGATTTCTGAATAAAATGGTGGCAAGCATAAATCTATCCGTTTCAATGATCCACTCGCCTTTTCCTCCTCTGATAATGATTGGTCAACGTTATATGATATAAATTTTGTAAATTGTTTAAATACACCACCTGACAAACTCTTGCGATCTAATTCTTTTCGTTTATCATCATTGGACATGATCACACTAAGTGATACCCATTCAAGACGTAGGGTACACAAGCCAAGAAAATCAGTTAAATCGTATAATTCCTCCGATGATGTACAATATGCTAGAGCAAATCTAGCTAAACGTAAACGATATCGTTCAACAGTCCATAATTCAATTGGAGAGTGTAGGCTAGAAGAATTCTTTCTATTCAACGATGTTGTACACGTTGAACGCTTAATATTGTATAAGGCATGTAGACAGGTCCATGTAGACAATTTATCATCATAATTACTACGAATTCCTTTATTAGTACTATTATTCTCAGGAGGAGTAGTTGTAGCGCCGGTCGATTTAAGAGGCCGACAATGATAACTGTTTAGAGTAAATATCTCCAATGGATACCCAGCCCAATGTGCGCATTCAAGCCAACAAGACCCATATGGCATCTCTATTAATTCATTGAGAAATTGAAGTGTTACATTTAATAAATATACAGTTGGATAGCAATTCTTCTCACCCTCTCCCTCCTCAACATTATCACTTAAACTTTGTAAATAATTGAGCATTGAACGAATAAAACAAATTTTCAATTGTTCAATAGTCATTAAAAAGGTAACAGATAATTTGTTTAAATAATTCGAATCAAATGTAGCCGCCATATTTAAATTATTATTATTATTATTCGAGTATAAAATAATTAGTTTAGTGAATGATTCAATCAATAGATTAATTCGTTTTGTGTGTAATTCACTATTTAATTGATTATTATTCTCATTATTATTATTACTATTAAGATCATTTCTCCATAAACATCTTAACTTATATGGTGAAACTAAAGGTAAACGTTGAATACTGGACGGGAGTAGCCGATTAATTGTACCAAGATAGGTGGATGCATTCAGCAGGTGTTCTTCTAAATTGAATTTTACCGCCAATGATTTATTCCAGTTGATTTTATCGCCTAAAGAATTGACAATAGATAGACAATGACGGGCTAATAATTCATTTGGATCCATTGTTGTCATCATGTCGACATTGAATTCACCTGTAGAATTAGTCAGATCAGTAAATATCATTTTTAAATCTCCTCTTGATGGTATTGATATATTAACATAACTACGCGTAGCATTCAATAGACAAATTCCCCAATTGTCTAGTGTCTGTTTAGATAGTTTTGCGCTGATCTTTTGAAAGTTTATACGAGATGAATCATCAGTGAAATTAAGACAAAAATCTCGAGATAATTCAATGAAGTATTGATTTCCTGAGGCGAATAAAGCATATTGTAAACCAATAGTTAACCATGCTTCTGCTGGACAATTGTGGAAGGCTTCGGATAGAATTTTATAAAACTGATGAAGATAATCACTAAAGAGGAAAAGGCAAAGGAAAAAAGAGAAATACGACAAATTGAAATGGAGGTCATAAAAAAATCAATAATAATCTGTGTTATTTTGGTTGAAAGTGACTGATTGGCAGTAGAAACTAGGACTCGTTCACTTAGATGCACCTTACATCCACCCAACAACCCTCCCCGTCCAACACTGACAATGAGTGATGAGGTCTCCAGTGGGACTTAGACTTTGCATCCATCATTTCAAACGTCAAACTCGAACTCATGCAGCCAGATAACAGCCTTATAGCGAGTTATCACTTGAAGCGGTGACAACTAGTCATGTCCGTTAGGAATGCCCTACTGTCCCCATTTCTATTCGATTTCACTTTAGATGTACTAATAGAATTAACCCTAACTCACTTCAGCAATTCAGGGGTTGATTTATTTTCACCAGGGGATAATCTGACTTGGAATATGCAGATAACAATGTCCTTGTAGGAGAGGACACTGACATAATGCAGTCTTTTGAACACCTTGAGCTGAGCAGCAATCTCCGAATGTTTGACATGCGATTCGTTCCTGTTGTCAAATGTAAGATGATGCTACAGGATTGAAATCGACTATATTGGCTCTTAGATTAAATTAAATTAAACACGCTCTACCACTTCACTTATTTGGTAAGTTGCATCAGACAATGCCAACGGGTTGATTGATGACGAAATCTCAGACGGCTCGTCTCACGTATGCCAACTTATTGTATTTCTGGAGTCAACGTGAGATCCGGCTGTCGACCGATGGGCACTCTGTCTTCCTATATGGCTGTGAGACATGGCCAGTGAATGTAGAAGATACTAAAAGACTAGCCGTCTTTGATCACACGTGCCTGCGTTCTATCTCCCGTGTGAAATGGCATGATAGTGAACAATATTGAGGTTAGGCATCGGTCGAGTGCTAGGTAGGTGGGAGGGGAAATCAATAGACGAGGTTGTGAATTTACACCGATTGAGATGGTCAGGACATGTGTTAAGCATGCCTGGTCATCGCCTTCCTCGACGACGGGCAGTGTTAGCTGACATAAGATCAGGGTGGAGAAAAGAGCTGGCGGCGGTCAAACCAAAACATGGCTTCATCAGCCAATGAAATCCACAACGGTTAGTTTAAGCCACGTGAGAAGGTCTAGACTTTCTCGTTGGGGTCCTCAGGATGTCAGAAATCAGTGAAGGCTGAAGACGATTGGTGATATGGCTCAAAATCGTTCTCAGGGATGGCTGACGTAGACGCATCCACTACTTGTGACTTATAATATCCAATAAAACTATATTGTTATTCGATATTACAATTCTTTTTGCCTCATATCTCTGTTTATTATCTCTGTTTTGCATTTCTTTTCTTGCTTTGTATGCTAAGTGAAGTGTGGTGAGTCGAACTGCTGCACATCGGTACAAACTTCCATGTTGGGACGAGTCAGTCAGACAAATATCAAAGGACTAGCCGCTAGATTACGGGAGTCGTGTATCGTACTATTATTATTCTCTTGCGTTCAGAGTGAAACATAGGACTTCGACGGCACATCTCCACTTCGTTCTATTCTCTGTGATCCTCTTCATTTGGCCCGATGACTATCCATAGTCTCCCATCTCCTTCTCGCTACACCATCCTCCCCATGTCACCCTCGAGGAGACACCCAGTTCGTTGTTTCCTACTCAGGTTCAATTTGAGCGATGGTCTAGAGATGGCGTGATGTCACCCAATGTTCTCCCCAGTATATGTCCGATTCATCTCCGTTTTCTTCTACATATTTATTGAACAGGAGGTTCTTCATTGCTTAGTTTCCAGAGCTTTTTATTGCGCCACACAATAATAATAAAACAACATAGATTATAAGTAAAAATATAAGTAGAGAACAGATAAAGAACTTCATCTGGAAGGAAAACAGTCATACTTAACAAGTTCAAACAATATTCATCAACTATCATCGGGAAGGGAAGAAAGAAGGATACGGCAACACGTTCGCCATTGATGACTGCGATTCTTGGCGATATCCGATAACATTTCGAGCCATCGATTCAAGCTATCTCTCGGACTCCTACCATGAAGTCGTGATGCAACAACCGATGGCGCTAACCTAACACAAACATCCTTCATCCCACGAAGCCACGTCACGGACTGACTACCTCTCCACCTTTTCCATCCTGTCCCACAGCTAGCCAACAGAGACCTGTACGGAAGCCTCTAGGATGACACTCACAGCACATGTCCAAGCCACCTAAGCAAGTGTTTCAAGATGACAACACTCAACGAATGGTGATCTCCACTGTGTTCAAACACACACCACAGAACCTCACAATTACTCACGCGATGATCGAATACGCAGAGACACTGCACATACTCAGCTCGGAGAGACCAGATTTCACAGGCGTAGACCAAGACAGTCCGCACTGAAGCATTGTACAACCGACCTTTCACAAACAGGCTAACATCACGACGGCACCAGAGATGGCTGAAGTTGATGTATGCCACCCTAACCTTCATGATACGGTTGAAAATCACGGAATATACACATTGGTTCATAGGAGTAAATAAGAAGACAGTTGCAGCGAAGAAAATTTTCTTTTCGACGAAGTCATCATCTAGGCTGTACATTCGTGTATTTATATCAAATGGATGGGAAAGTTCCAGAATAATATCCGGTCAAGGGTCAAATTAATAAAAATTAAAATTGGGAATTAGAATGCCATAATAAACAGGAGGATGGATAAAACAAACAAAGTAGCATTATAATAACTAAGAAGACTGACATTGTGCAATTAGGGGTTAGAAATGTAGAAATAACAAAATAGACAGGATGTTTGGATAAAAACTAATGTGATGAATAATTGTTTATGCAATCAGGGATTAAATATGTAGAAATAGTAAAATGACAAAATAAACACTAAGTTCGGGTGTGAAAATATGGTAGTGTAAACAGGGATTAAGAAAAACTTGAAATAACATGAATAGACAGGAAGTTTAGATAAGAAAGGAGATGGGATGGTGATTACTAAAAATTACCTGTTTATGATGGCCATGGCAAGGACAGGGGTTGGACGTATTTCTTTTGTATACAAAGCGTGGGTTTGAGCTTTTGTATAGCTAGCGCCTCGGCTATGCCCAGATGTCTTGACTTTACTCCCTTTGATAGGTTTGATCGAATCTTGTAAATTATTTTGAAGGATTTTTCGAGTGGCGCTGAATGTTCTGAACTCACCAGATGTTCTGTCACCGAACTATTTACCCGTTTTCGTTCTCCTCTTACTAGCCAGGCTGGATAGTGTTCACGAGCGCGTTTTTCAAGTCGGCGCATGGTACGGCCAACGTACTCAGCTCCACAAGAGCAAGTTAACTGGTATATGCACGCTGAGGTGGCCCAATGCGGTTGAAAATCTCATCCGTCACCCTCTGCCAGCACTCACAAAACTACCCACCCAGATAGACAAACTTATCAACAACTTCAAGCGGTTCACCCGCAAGAGTGAGTGCAAGTACAGACCCCTACCAATCTTGTAACAGTACTATCCACTTAGACGGCGCAAAGCACATACCATACAGACGCCTGATTCTCACATACTTCTTACAGTAGGATTTAGGTTAACTAATTTTGTTCAACAGTACTTGTGTTGTACTTAAAACGTTCTCTTGACCACATATATATAGTTGCCTAACGGTACTGTTGAGGTAAATTTGAGTTGAATAGAACCACTTAGATTTTACCATGAATAACCGTCTTTTTGCTGTCTTTGGGGGATTTTGTAACTTTTTGATGTGGTTTTGTTCTCTGAGCTGGATAGTTTATTTGCGAAGCTTTCATCACCCTACTGGGTGACATCTTCAGCGCATACTTCAATTTGAAGTGAGCTTTTAGATTTCTCCACGAGTTTATTAATCATCTCTCCTGGTGACCTTGGACGTGATTGGTTGTTTATGTGTGTTTTCACATCTTCTAGGTTACTTGTATTGGAACTGACTGTTTCTTTGATTTGAACTTTGACCCTTTGTGTGTGAAGTTTCTTTCTTATTGGTTGATAAATTTTGTCTATCTCGATGTGTCTATTGATTGATGATTCACTGGAATGCCAAGCTTCTAAAAATTCTCTAGCATTCTTGTTATTTCCTTTGTCTAATATTTGAACGTTGTCCCAGTCGAATTGATGTCCGTGGTTGTCTGTATGTAGTGAAATGAGGGAGTGGATATCATGTCTTTTGACGGCTAGCTTATGTTCGTGGATACGAAGACGAAGGGGACGTCCACTTTGGCCAATGTAGTGTTTTTCGCAGTTGTTACAATTTATTTTGTAGATGATGTTGGTTTTATCTTCTTTCGCTGTTGAGTCTTTTGGTTGACATAGAATTGAGTGAAGCGACTTTGTTGGTTTGTGTACGACGTCAATTCCTAAAGGTTTGAAGAGTCTTGTAGTGATTTCTGAGATATCCTTTATATATGGTAAGGCGATTTTCTTTGTGCTTTCCTTGGTGGCTTTTCGTTTGGTAGGTTGGCTTGGGGGTATATGTCTTTTGATGAAATTCCGTGGATATCCATTCTTTTGGAAGACGTCCATGAGATACTTTTCTTCAATTTTCCTTAAGGTGGGAGTGCTGCAATGAGTCCTTGCTCTCTTGAATAGTGTTTGTATGCAATTCCTTTTGTGTGTTATTGGGTTGTTGCTGTTGTAATTTAGGATTTGGTCTGTGTGAGTTGATTTCCTATAAACTTGAGTTTCTAACTCCCCTGTGGTTGTTCGCTTGACTAAGACGTCCAAAAATGGTATTTTGTTCTCGGATTCCTCTTCTCTTGTGAATTTGATGTCGTTGAAGACGTTGTTTATTAAGTTGTGAGTTTTATCTAATTCGTTTCTTTTGATTATTACAAATGTGTCGTCGACGTAGCGTATCCAAATCTTGGGTTTGATCTTTGGTAGAATTATGTTTTCGAGTCTTTGCATCACTGCTTCTGCAATCAAACCTGATATTGGCGATCCCATGGGTGTTCCTTTGACTTGTTCATATATTTGGCCGTTGAATTGGAAGTATGTTGTTAGGCATAGATTTATGCATTCCATCCAGCTTGTGTGTTGCATTTTTGATTGTTGTGGAAGTTGTTCGTCGTTGCTAAGTAATTGCTCCATGGTTTCTTTTGCTAGTTTTTGTCCGATGGAGGTATATAATGTTGTCACGTCGAAGGACGTGGACGTCCCCTTCGTCTTCGTATCCACGAACATAAGTTAGCCATCAAAAGACATGATATCCACTCTCTCATATCACTACATACAGACAACCATGGACATCAATTCGACTGGGACAACGTTCATATATTAAACAGAGGAAACAACAAGAATGCTAGAGAATTTTTAGAAGCTTGGCATTCCAGTGAATCATCAATCAATAGACACATCGAGATAGACAAAATTTATCAACCAATAAGAAAGAAACTTCACACACAAAGGGTCAAAGTTCAAATCAAAGAAACAGTCAGTTCCAATACAAGTAACCTAGAAGATGTGAAAACACACATAAACAACCAATCACACCAAGAACACCCTCGACTTGAACTCGAATGCGAGACAACAAGTTGGTCTTGGGTCCGACGGTGACATTTGAAGAGAAATGAAAGTCTATAGGCAGTTGTGAACTCATCTAAAAATAACTCCAAAGAACAAGATAAAATGAAGACGTACTGTTGAAACCCTAACGTTCCACTTGAAACCAAAAGGAGTATTGGCAAACTTCAGCAATAGCGTCCCAAGGGGTGCGAACGCACGAGTGACCTTCGACCGGCCAATCATAAAAATAAGTGACTTTTGCGCAATTTATGAAGTATATTTACGAGAAAATGCATGAAAAACGTTAAACAAGTTGTCTTTCTCTGATATGACTCAAAAATACATTCCAGTTATAATGAAGAGTATCAGTTGTTAAGTTCGCCTAGTTTCTGTACATGTATTCACCGAGGTGACTGAAGATGAATTGTTTTTGTGAATCGCTTATCTGTTTAATTCCAATAGTAACGAAGGTGATAATAATTTTCAACTTGATATGAAAGTTTGAAGGTAAAAATATGGATTACGAGGGGCTTAGAGGCATGATTTCATAGGATTAGAAAATAGTTACAACGTATGCGAAAAATTAATATTTGATAACTGGAGAAATAATTTTAAGTCAAATAGAAGGTGATAATTGTTTTCAACTTGATATGAATTACAAGAGGCTTAGAAACGCAGGGATAGAACGAATTACAGGTGTGAACAAAATGAGCATGGAAACGAGCTCTCATCAGCGCACTAACTCCTCGCATTAGAAAAATCTGCAGCAACGATTGCATGGAAGAGGAGCTCCTATTCCTCAAAAATATCCTGGCTCAAAATGGCTACCCGACACGTTTTGTCGAAAAGAACATGAAACCTAAACCTAAAAGAGAAGAATGCGATTCAGTGCCAAAGGAAACGCTGTATCTAAATCTGAATTTCAAGGGCGATTTGGCAGTTGATATCTTGAGAAGAATATCCAGCTCTTTAAAGAAGACCTTCCATGCAGCAACATTAAGAGTGACAATCTCTAGCCGTCCAATACTTCGAAACAACACGAAGGACAAACTATCGCATACGACCAATTCAATGTGCATATACCAGTTCACTTGCTCGTGCGGAGCTAGGTACATAGGTCATTGTATGCGCGTCCTCTCAAAACGTGTTAGAGAACAATACCCAGCGTGACTGCAAAAAGGAGGCACCGGTTCAATCAGAAGTGCCATTATTGAACATCTGGTCAACACCTCCCAAAAACATCTCAACTGATTCTTTCAAAGTAATTTACAAAGTCAACAGAAACCCACCAAAAGCAGTATGTTTCCGACTTCGTTGTACTGCAGAAGCCCTCGCAATATGCATCGAGAAGCCAGAGCTGTGTGCTCAAAAGAAATTAGTCCAACCTCTACAACAACCATAGACCGAGGCTGGTATGTTCCCTTGGCTTCCGTCTTTTTTTCTCTTCTTCGTCTTTTTTCGTTCTCGCTTTTCCTTTCGAGCATTTTTTCGTTCGCTGTGTGTCTGATCCTTATTCCCTCAATCTTCGTTTAATCCACCTAATTTTTTTTCAGTTATAAAAACAGTTATTTCAAGTTTGTTTCCATGCTTTTCCCTTTTCACATTTATAATTCGTTTGAAATAACTATTTTACAATTATATCTTAATCCTGTGCAATTTTTTGTGTTTCTAAGGCTTTTGTAATCTATATTCACACCTCCTAAACTTTCATTTCAAGCTCAAATTATTATTTCTAATTTTCAGTTATAAAACTAGTTATTTTAATTTTGTTTCCATGCTCCTCCTGATCACACTTGTAATCCGTTTAGAATAACCATTTTTACAATTATATTCTAATCCTGTGTAATTTTTTGTTTCTATGCCTCTTGTAATCTATATTCATACCTCCTAACTAACATTTCAAGTTGAAAATTTTGATTTCAATTTGTTTCCATGCTCATTTTGTTCACACCTGTAATTCGTTCTATCCCTGCGTTTCTAAGCCTCTTGTAATTCATATCAAGTTGAAAACAATTATCACCTTCTATTTGACGCCATCCAATACCATGATTCAAACAAATTCACAAAATTTCATGCCGGATCGGCCGTGGCCCGGATTAACAACGACCGCGCTTCCTGCTGCCGTGTCACAGGGCAGGAGTGATAAGTATGCTACTAAGGCACACCAAACAAAAGAGAACAAACAAAAACAGGCCGCGTGTGACCGGCCTCAAGCAGTTGTCCCCTGGGCTCTGCGGTCACGCAACCAACTTCCACGGTGTGGGCAGCCGGGAAGTAACAAACGCCCTCACAATCCGAAACGCACGCGAAACCTCTCTATTACTCACTCATCTTTGTCTTCATCTTCATCCCTATTACCTTGCCTTCCTCCCAATGATGACTTAAAATTATTTCTCCAGTTATCAAATATTAATTTTTGCATACGTTGTAACTATTTTATACTCCTATGAAATCGTTGATATAAGTATAAAACTTGGGCACTGTGGTAGAGTATAATTCCATTATAGATAAGATTTTATTTTGATAAATCGCAGTGTTTACAGTTATATAACTGTAAATACTGTGCGATTTACCAAAATAAAATCCTATGAAATCGTCTATCTCTCTTATCCTGTCGTGCAGTCTTTCCAAAATGCCTTCGGTCGAATTACTATGGTTCTCAGTAAGAAAATCGACGACTACTTACCAGGAAGATGTGGATAATAAAACAATTGTCATTTATTTTAATTTAAATTAAAATAAATGATATCAATTCCAAGTCTAACCCTAGGTGTAAACTACCCTTAATCCTGACTCTAACCCTAAACTTCACACTAACCCTGATTACACCTTTATCCTAACCTTAAACCTAACCTTAGTGTTATAATTATAACCCTAATCCTAACTCCAATACCTACCTTAACCCTAATCCTAACTATAACTAGCTATTGACACATTTACGAACAGGACTTATATAAACATAATCTCGGTGGAATTTCCTCTTCATTTGGTGAATGGCGTCGATATTTCAGCTGTGATAGTGACAGATGCCCGTTAGCCACCGATTAGCATGTGTTCAAGGTCATTGGAGTGTTCACACTCCTGGGACGCTATTGCTGAACTTCACCGGAGTAATAGTAATAATAATAACAGAATGTGCCGTACATCTTAAGCGTTAACCAAAGAGCATAAAGAAGGGATGGACAATTCAACAACAAAAAATAGTTAAAAATCAATAAAAACAGACTACCTTAATTTCTCTACAGCATGCTCAGAAATTCGTGGTTGTACAACAACACTACGACGCCGATGAGTAGTAGTACTCGTCATCATCATCATTCCATCATTATTATCTACAACCTCTTCTCTTTCAAAAGCAACAGCTAACCGACCAAATATATTGATCCAACAATTTAATAAATTACGAAAATATCCCCCATCATGACTACATCGATAAAAATAGCCAATAAAACTGTACGGCAGGTCAATTGATGAAATCAGATACTTCTCCATTGAATTGATAAGTGATTTTAGGTCATCCAGGGCTGAAGTACAACGAGCTATCAATTGCATACTTTCTAACAATTGTTTCCATTGAGTTTTATCAATTTGTTGCAGACTAGTGGTGTTGTTATAGTCTTGAAAAGAATAGGCGAGCATTGCATGAATAAGATGATTGGCATCAGTTAAATAAGTGTTCAATGAAGAAATTATTATTGATCCAGACTGGTTTAATGAATCCGCTTTGAAATTTGGTTCATATTTAAGTAAAACATAAGTTAACGAGGATAAAAGTTGATATGCTGTAAAGGTAAAAAAGGGGAAAACAGTGAAGAAAAAAATGAATTTGTGATAGACAATAAAATCTGTGACAATTATGAACTGAAATCAAACCTAACTAACTGAAGAGTCAGGCACTAGGACGAAATCACTGTATAGTGAGTGCTCTTTGGTTTTTAATAATTCCTTAATTGAACAGACGCCTCGTCATAGTTTGAGACTCTCTGTCAGCAAGCACCCAACACAGACGCTCGAAACCAGAACCTACGGGTCACAAGGCGAGCGCTTACACTATTCACGGCCACTGGGACTCTATCCAATAGCCTGCAAATTGGCTATACATATATAACACGACCACCAGACAATGCCATAGGCGAATAACCGCTCTCTCTTTCCTCACTTGATGGACCCTGTTAGTTACAACTTCTCACTAGAATTAACTGAAGCTGAAATTTATGGGATGGCTGTTGAAACGAGGTCCCAGTGGCTCAATGGTCTGCAAGCTCGCCTTGTAACAGGGAGGTCCTGAGTGCATGCTGATGAAGAGCTTCCAACTAGGACGAAAAAGCTGCCCACTACTCCCTGATAGTTTTCCAGTGGTTCTCTAGATGATGCCAACTCGTGACTAAACCTGCAACCATTCAGATCGCAGCAAACCAACACTTCATAGTTCTATAACTTCTATGCTGGTTCGTGATGAAATATACACTGAAATCGATCAAAAACTACTAAAAAACTGGATAGTAACACCAAAAACCAGGGCAGGTGATCATCGAGGTTGTTGTGGACCACTTCCTGCGAACCTTTAAGTTGAAGTCTGATCCACAATAAAAGCAGAGCAGAAGCATCAGGAGCTATGTTCCTAGGATTGCCATGGATTAAAACAGACTCTTGCACTATTCATACCCTTCGGTTTTTGTAGCCCATATAAACCACAGGTTTTCAATAAGTTTTCCGACTTCTCTAGGTTGACCTCCATGTTCAATAGTCCACTTATAAGCACCAAGCATTTATATTAGCAATTTTACTTTTGTAAGGGAATCCCACAATACCACGTGAAAACAGTGAACAGAGCTTGTCTGGAAAACGCTATGAACACGTGACCACATGAAAGCATTTTGAGAGAAAGACCCAAGTCTACACACTATTTGACTGGAGGAAGGTTGAAGTTGTGAGCTTTTCATCACAAATATTAACAACTACATAGTATGAATACTTTTCTTAATAGGGACATATGGGTGTTTGCTGTAATTACAATTGTTTTCAATGGCTACTGCAAAATTTATAAAACGCTTGAAATTCATAGCTACTGCATTGTTCATCCAGATAACTTTTTTCAAGCACAATTTTACATTACTTATAAGTAGTTGAAAATATTCTACTAAACTTTACGGAGAAATTCAGTATTCTGTCGTGGTGGCTGAATGGGTCAACGAGTCAACTATCTCGAAACCTAAAAGTGATGGATGCGTAGTGCTGAAGAGTCCCGAGCCAGAATAGAACAGCTGTTCAAAACATCCTGATTTTCAGTGGTTCTCTAACTGATGTTAGACAAATCATGACCCAACCTGAAACCAATCAAATATTTGCAGACCAATACTTGAAAATAATAATAATAATAATAATCACTTTATTCCACAACAATAAAAATTTACAGCATGGAATTTTCAGCGTTAAGTTTTTTCTTTTTTTTTGGTTACAGCTTGATTCCACACCGTATTTTTGGTACGTGTATGGAATTTTCAGCGTGGATATCGGTAGCCCAAAATTCGCAGGCCAACCATAGATATCAGGTGTGCGTCGGCGTGGGCTCGAAAGAATGGAGACCTAACCGCACGGGGTGGATAAATTGCTTTGAAGAGGCCAATCATAGCTTTCGGAGGTAACAATATACTTATGATGGATGAACTGAGTTTTGTCATTAATCACAAATGCGGTTAATGGATTAAGGGAAAATTTCCCTTAATTTAAACTGTAACCAAACAATTCCTAACTGTAACCTGGTCTAAATTAGTTTCGTTAACTGTGATCGGCCATTTCGAGGTTATTGAGCTAGGTGAAAACACCACAGCAATGGTAAGCAGAAGACTGAGTACGACACTAGGCAGAGTCTATTCTGCTGCCAGCTAAGTTGTTTCGCGTCCATCGAACAACATGCTCTTTGGTGCAGTCAAAAGTCGACAGATACCCACTGTTCTCATGTTAATTCCAACTGTGTATACAAATCTACGTGTATTCGCGGGAGCAGTTACATTGGAGGGAACAGAAAGAAGAACACACCTCTGATTTTCTGAACATGTGCCGAAAAGCCTACGTCTCAAGGGAACAAACTCTTATAATAGCGCTATTACTAGACATCTCCTCGATACGAGTCATGAGGTGAAAGTCGCGAAATCCTTTAAAATTATCAATAGAGGAAAAGCTCAATACTCCTCAAGTTTTTCGAAATAATCTCTATCAAACTCCTGAAACCAGATTTATGTGTTCAGAAAGAAGCAGTTATCAGTCTTTCCTTGAAGTGGTAGAGCACGTTGACCGCTTCACTTATTTGGGAAGTACCATCAGCCCCAACGGGCTGACCTCTGACGAAATCTCAGCACGAATACAAGGGGCTCGTTTCGCATTTGTTAGTTTATGCCGACTCTGGCGTAGACGAGATGTTCGACTATCGACCAAAGGGCGGGTGTACTGCTCATCAGTCCGCTCCGTCCTCCTGTATGGTTGTGAGCGAGACCTGGCCACTGAGAGTTGAAGACATGAAAAGACTAGCTGTCTTTGATCATAGGTGCCTGCGTTCTATTTCCCGTGTAAAGTGGCATAATAAGGTGAGCAACATGGAGGTTAGGCGTAGAGTTCTAGGTAAACAGGGAAATCAATCGACGAAGTCGTGAAGCTACAAAGACTGAGATGGTTAGGATATGTGTTACGTATGCCAAGCCATCGCCTCCCTCGACCGAAGAGCAATGTTAGCGGATATAGGGTCAGGCTGGAAAAAAGCTAGCGGCGGTCAAACAAAAACTTGGCCTCACCAGTCAATGAAATCCACAACAGTTGGTCTAAGCCACGTAGGAAGGTGTAGACTTCCTGACTGGCTGGGGTCCTCGGGACGGTAAAAATCTATGGTTGGAAACAATTGGTGACATGGCTCAAACTCATCGTTCTCAGTGGCGCAGATGCATCCACTCCTTGTGACTTATGATCTCCAATGAAACTGTTTTGTATTTCTTTATTACTCCTTTGTCTCACACCTCTGCTCACTGTTTCTATTATGCTTTTCTTGTACTTTCTTCTCTTGCTTCGCGTGCTACACGGAATGTGGCGACTTGAACTTCCGCACATTTGTGCAAAGTTCTATGTCGAAAACAGACAGACAGACAGACTTTCCTTGCCCTGCCTAGTAACTAGATGTCTTTATTCTCTTTTTCATTTCATTACATAATCTTTGGCTTTAACCTCACCCCCTCCCCTTTGATATAGTATAATTTCGCTTGTTTCTTGTTCCTCTGATTTGAGTTGAACTCAGTAAATTGTTATCTAATTTATTAGTCACTCAGCATCTTCCGCACCTTTCGTCTGTATTATTACGTAACTCCTTTACCATTGTAAGCATACATTTACTTTGTTTAAACTTGAACTGCCTGTGTAAAAAACTATATGAGCGCAATTTTTCAATTACTGTCCACTAACTGCGGAACCTTCTGTCAACTAACATCATGAAAAACAATTTGCAAGTATGTTGAAACTTTTCTACATATAAACTTCATAATTTATTTAGGCTGTAAGCACTTGAGCTGATGAGAAGCCAACGAAATAAACAATGATGATACCATCATCTTACTCTGAACTGTTGTTCTTGCTTTATTCTGAATATTATACCTCCTGTGTAGTTGGAACGATGATACCGTCTATTACTGCTACTACAAATGAAATGTCACTCAACTACGCCTTGGAATTCTATCTAATTTACAATCGGGTTAGTGATATGATAGGATCCCACATATTTTGGTATTGACTGTTTAAACTTGCATATATGGTATGTTATCATTCTCACACATTTTGGTAATGACTGCTAATTTTGTATATATGGTATATTATCATTCTCACGCATTTTGGTAGTGACTGTTTAATCTTGTATATATGGTATATTATCATTCTCACACATTTTGGTAGTGACTGCTAATTTTGTATATATGGTATATTATCATTCCCACACATTTTGTTACTGACTGTCAACCTCGCACATATGGTATACTATCATCTCTCACGCACTTTGTTATTGGCTATTAAGATAAATTATTTCAAATGCTGTTAGCTGTCCATATTGTTGTAAAATGTATAAATACCATGGCTTTCTTTATCGTTGATGCACTTCAATACACAGTCACAGTCCAGCCTTTGTCTTTTGATATTTGCGTGCTTTACTAAGTCGGAAGGTACGACGAGCAGATAGGCAGATTAGTTCAGGCGCAGACAGAATAAGGTGAAAACGTCTTCATTCAATTCCCTACCGTTATAACATGATACCACGTGACTGGTTGCTCAAACCCCGAGTGAGTGAGTGAGCGTGTGAGTGATTATTTATTTAAACGCATAAAAAACTTGGTACAACATGGCACCAAGAAGATGCGTCATATAATAGCAATAATAATAAAACAACATAGATTATAAGTAAAAATATAAGTAGAGAACAGATAAAGAACTTCATCTGGAAGGAAAATAGCCATACTTAACAAGTTCAAACAGTATTCATCAACTATCATCTGGAAGGGAAGAAAGAAGGATACGGCAACACGTTCGCCATTGATGACTGCGATTCTTGGCGATATCCGATAACATTTCGAGCCATCGATTCAAGCTATCTCTCGGACTCCTACCATGAAGTCGTGATGCACCAACCGATGGCGCTAACCTAATACAAATATCCTTAGCCCATGACGCCACGTTATGGACTGACCATCTCTCCGCCTTTTCCATCCCGTCTCAGGGCTAACAAACAGAGACCTGTACGGAAGCCCCTGCGATGACATTCGCAACACATATCAAAGCCACCGAAGCAAGTGTTTCTAGATGACGCCACTCAACGAATGGTGATCTCCACTGTGTGCAAACACACGCCACCGAACCTCACAATTACTCACGCGATGATTTCATTGAACGCAAGCAGTCCTGCAGAGACAGCGATGGTCGAATTCGCAGAGCCGCCGCACATTCTCAGCTCGGAGAAGCCAGGTTTCACAGGCGTAGAGTAAGACAGCCCGCACGGAAGCACTGTATACCCTACCTTTGACAGCCAGGCTAACCTCGCAACGTCGCCAAAGGAGGCTCAAGTTAACGTATACCACACTAGCCTTCATGATACGGTTGCGAATCTCATTCGTCACGAGCCTCTGCCAGCATTCATACAACTACCCAGATACACAAACTTATCAACAAGTCGAAGCAGTAAGTGAATGAATGAATGAATGAATGAGTGAGTGAGTGAGTGAGTGAGTGAGTGAGTGAGTGAGTGAGTGAGTGAGTGAGTGAGTGAGTGAGTGAGTGAGTGAGTGAGTGAGTGAGTGAGTGAGTGAGTGAGTGAGTGAGTGAGTGAGTGAGTGAGTGAGTGAGTGAGTGAGTGAATCAACATGTACACACACAAAACTTACGATTTAAAATATCCACATAAGTTGTATTTCTATCCAAATGAAAATTATCAATCCAGGTGACTGTATTGTTTAAACTTTCTAGCAAATAGTTATTGTAATTTACAGGAAACGATTTCATTTTAATTGATTCAAGTAATTTGATATGACCAGATAAACTACCCATAGAATTTGCTGCATACAACAAAATCGAGTTGATTAATTCGCTATACTCAGCTGGAGTACATCGCTCAGCTAAATGTGGTAATAATTGATAGATGATAAATGAAACGAATCGTTCTGTAGCAATTACGGATGTATTATCATGAGAAATCTGGTTAATATTCATATTATTATTATTATTACTATTTGTGCTTATCATATTCATACTGACACGAAATAATAAACTGAGAATAGTTTTCGAGTTGAAAGATTGGAAATGTTTCATCTGGAATTGAAATGCACGTATACCATCATTGGAGTGTCGAATGAATGTTGTATTATGTATATCACCAGAGATATCATTTATTATTGTAGTTGGAAGGATATATTTACTGTAAATAATCTAGACATTTGAATAAGGAAAAAAACAAAGGAACAATAAGCGAAGAGAATATCCCACTTTGGAGGTATGAATCACTACAGTAATAGGAATAGAAAATTAATCTGATGCTCGCTAGTGACTTGCTACAAGATGGTGTTTCCTGTAGCAGTTCTAGTGAAAAGTAGTGACCAGTGACTTTCATCCAGTCACGTGTGAGGATGGATGTCCCACCGCCAATAAATCACCAAATTGGTAGATGTTAGAATTCATGAACCATTAAATCGGGTCCCAGTGGCTGAATGGTATACGAGCTCGCTGGCCTTGTAACCAGAAGGTCCTGGGTTCGAACCCTGGTGGTGGGTGCCTACTGCCGACGATTACCAAAACTAGGATGAAACAGCGGTCCAGTACTCCCTGACTGGCTTTCAATGGTTCTCTAATTGGTCTCAATCCATGATCAACTCGTAAGAAATAATAAATGGCTTTATTCCAAACAGTACTTATGAAAGAGTGTGGAATTCTTGGCATTTAGTACAATACTGTATGAACGCGACAGTATATACATTTTAAAAGCCCTGTTCTAATCCTGTCTGTCTGTCTGACTGGTTTCAACACAGAACTTTGCACCAGTGTGTAGAAGTTCGAGTCGCCACACTTCAGTTAACATACAAAGCAAGAGAAGAAAGTAGAAGAAATGCATAACAGAGACAGTAAACAGGGATATGAGGCAAAAAGAATAGTAATATCGAAGAACAATATAATTTCATTGGAAATCATAAGCCACAAGGAGTGGGTGCATCTGAGCCAGCTATTCAGAACGATTTTGTCTCCAGCCATTGGTTTTTACCATCACGAGGACCCCAACCAGTGAGGAAGTCTACACCGTTCTACGTGGTTTAAACTTGTGGATTTCATTGACTGGTGAAGCCATGTTTTGGTTTGACCGACCCTAGCTCTTTTCGGACTCGGCCTTATGTTAGCTAACGCTGCCCGTCATCGAGGAAGGCGATGGCTAGGCATACATAACACATGTCTTAACCATCTGATTCGATATAACTTCACAGCCTCATCGATTGATTTCCCCTCCTGCCTAACCAGCACTCGACGCCTAGTCTCAGTATTGCTTACCCTATTATACCACTTAACACGGGAGATAGAACGCAGGCAGCTATGGCCGAAGATAGCTAGTCTTTTCATGTCTTCCACTTTCAGTGGCCAGGTCTCACAGCCAGCCGTAAAGGAGGACGGAACGGACTGATGAGCAGTACACCTACCCTTTGGAAGAAAGCCGGAGACGGTGTAAACTGGCATATGCGAAACTAGTCCTCTGTATCCGTGCTGAGATTTCGCCATGTTTTAATCCAGTATAAAAAGAACTTAATTAAAACATTATGTAATAGAAAAGGCAAAATTTGTTCTGATAATACAAATGAATATAAAACGAAGACCCTATCTAAGAATGGATATCCTCAGATGTTCCATCAATAAATACTCTAAAGAAATAAGCCCCAGTAAAACTATCCGAACAGTTTAAAAGAAATTTAATTGGTGAATGGTGACTAGCAGTGGAATCCAGGATGAGCATTTTGTCCTATTTGGGACCCACCATCTGGATGTACCTGCTCTTCTCAGTGAGTGATGATGTTCGCACCGAGGCTCGAACCCAGTGCCCATAGTTTCAAACGCCAAAGCGTTATCCACTACACCACTTGGGCCACGACAGCCACCTCTTGTGCAACGGATATTGAATCGACGGGAAAATCTAAAATTCAATTAAGTTTCAAAGAAAGCTGTATATATCAATTTGCCATTTAAAGGAGATAATGTACAAGAAGTAGTAGTTAAACCAAGAATTGATAAAGCTATCAGAACTCATGTATCCTTAACACCCACCTCCAAGCGAGTGCTTCAACAATCTGGGAAAGATCCGTCTTCAATCCTCGACACCTCAAACTGCGTATATCAATTTGAGTGTGTTTGTGGAAGCAAATACATGCGTCGTATAGAAAGGCGGTTGTCTACTCGCATGATAGAGCAGCAGGCAAAGTGGTTGAAAACAAATGAAGTCAAAGTGCAAAAAAATTCGGTTACAGAGCATCTTGTGGACTAAGGACATGATATTGACTCTGTCAAGTCATTCACTGTTGAAAAGGAGAAGACTTTCAGCGAAGAGATTCTTTCCGGCGGTGAATTCACTCACAATGCTGTACAATCGCATTTATATACAACTATTTGTGTATGTGTACACGAGGTTTGTCAAGTTTAGGTAATTAATCAAGCAATACAAGAATGATCTAATAGAGAAACAAGGTTAATTAGACAGGAACTAAAGTAAGATTGAGTTAGTAAGTTAGATGACGTAATATAACTGACTGAAATGTTTCAACTTAGGTCAGGATAACAACAGAGGTAATTCCAGGTAGAGACTAAGTAAAGGTGGGGTGAAGAATAATGCCATTTAAATTAGGACTAAAATTGAGCAAATAAATTGGATGACGTAACATAAATGATTAGAAATTGAGCGTTGGTCAAGTCAGTAACAGTAGTAATGAAGTGTAGAAATTAAATGGTGTGAGGGTGGAGAATAGGAGAGTTGAAAATGTAAAATATTACAATTGTAGAGACAGAAAGAAATAGAATTTACCTGTCGGGTATTAAGTTAGATTACATCCATTCCAAGTGTAGTGATTGAAGGAACTTCTTCTGTATGCACAGTTTAGGACTTGGCAAGTGAATTGCCATTGCTTCTGCAGTTTGAAGAAGTTTGACTCGTTACGTCATCCAATTTATTTGCTCATTCTCAGTCCTAATTTAAATGACATTATTCTCTACCCCAGTTTTACTTTACCTGGAATTACCTCTGTTGTTATCCTGACCTAAATTGAAACATTTTGGTCAATTATATTACGTCATCTAACTTACTAACTCAATCTTAATTTAGTTACTGTCTAATTAACCTTGTTTCTATATTAGATCATTCACTATTGTCAGCAGACATAAATTAACAAATAATATATGAGCCTTTTGCAGTATAATGAGTTATAAGTTTAAGAGTTTTGTTCAAACTGATATGTGGTTCGGGTAACCACGTATGTTTATACAGTGCCACCAGTTCTAAATACATATATAATGAACCACTTTCTACCCGAAGGAACCTGTATGTGAATGTCAAAAATAACATGTTTAGCATAGGTATTTACATAACCCTGGACAATGTACATAGGATTTCATCAAATCTACTTCCCAAACTAGGATGAAACAGCTATCCAGTACTCCCTGACTGGTTTTCAATGATTGTTTAACTGTATTATGGATAAGATTTTATTTTGATAAATCACACAGTGCTGTACAGTAATATTAACTGATGACCACGTTTCGAGCGCAAACAATTGCTCATAATCATATCAAGTTACTCACACGCATTCTAATAGATATTTAGACTTTAATTCGTCTCATCTGTCAACTGTTAAGGCAAGCTTAGTGAAGTGTCTAACAGACCGAGTCATAGCACTAAGTAGCACAAGAAAAGACCTAAATGACGAAATAAAACAGACAGAAGAAGCGTTGGTGTTGAATAACTATCCTATAAAATTCATTAGGAAGATCAGTAAAGACCAAAAACAAAATAAAAATAATTGTGAAACTATTAATGATAACACAAATAAGAAAGAATATAAGTCATCCACTGTTATACCATGTACAGAGGGGACATCTGAGACCCTACGTGGTATGATTCCTGATACAGCAGGAATTAGGGTGGCATTCAAACCTACAAACTCACTCAACTAGGACAAACTTCGTAGGTTAAGGGACTCTGTAGGTTGATCCAATTAGACAAAATAGTATAATTTACAAAATAACCTGCAATGACTCTGAGGTCAACTACATAGGACACACTTGTACGTCAGGGGTAGTCAGATTATCAGAACATAAGAATTTAGCTAAGGTAAGAATGGTTGACGCTGAAAAAATAGGTAATTTAGAAAAAAGCTCAGCAATTGCACTTCACGCATTAACAAACAACCACACAATAAGGTAGGAGAGGGTTAAAATTCTAAAAAGTAATATAGGTAGGTGGAGAAAGAGGTTGATTACGGAATCCTTATTTATCGAGTCTACAGCCAACACATGCAACAGAAATGACTCAATGCAAATACCAGAAATATGGAAGATATTATTACTCCCGGTCAAATCAGAGGAGGATAATAAATAATCTTAGAATTCTATTTCAATTCAAGCACATGACAACATTCTAACAAGTAACTTATTATGATTATAAAAACACTCGTCTTAATTCCCATCTGACTGTCATTGATCCATAACACTCGTATTATTATTTCTGCATGTACATTATCTCATATTGATTTTTAATCCAATACCTAATCGATTCCACACATGTATATAAATAAGAAAAGAAAAAAAGTTGTGTGAGTAACTTGATATGATTATGAGCAGTAATAATTTGTGCTCGAAACGTGGTCATCAGTTAATATTACTGTATAATACTATGTGATTTATCAAAATAAAATCTTATCCATAATGGAGTTATACTCTACCACCACAGTGCCCAAGTTTTATACTTATATCAAGAATACATATGGTTCTCTAACTGGTCTCAATCCGTAAATCAACTCGTAAAAATAATAAGAATACGCCAAAACTTACATGTGCAAGATCGATAAAATCACGACGAACTTTTTTAAGTGACATCAAACACATCTTCACTTCTTCATCGATTTCCTTTCCCTTGACAAGTTCTTCACAAATACAAGTACCCAAACAGAGTAAATTCAATGCATAATCAGTTAGACCAGAACGTGAATCAATTTGTGCAGAACGTTCTATCAACCAATGAGAGAATACTCTGATCAACTTCAATGGATCATTTAAACTTTCCCAATCTAGAAGTAATGAAATTGTAAAAGTTGACTGAATAGCATTCACTTCTTCACTGACACAATTATTACCATCAGAAGTGATACAACAATCCAATTCACTAGAAGTTATCCATGGTAGACTGAATATTTGATTCATGTAAACATCAGGATCAATAGTCTCTGACAAGCTAGATGCAATCAACAGTCGATATAAACCAACAGATCTTGGGAAGTGTTCAAATAATATCCTTAAGGCAATAAACTGTTCCCCACGAGCATAACTGAAAGCAATATCAAGTAAGGAATGCGTGCGAAAATTACTCAACGCGCCTAGAATATCATCAATTCGAGGTTGATTTGTCTGTTGGTTAACTAGAGATAAATTCACTGACTCATTGTTGACTGGGTGAAACATCAATTCAGCCTGTATAATACACTCAACACAATTGATATGAGTTAAATACATTGAAAGACAATCGCTCACTGTTTGATACCAAATATCTTCTTTATAATGTAAATACTTGCTGTTGTTCTGTAGAATCTTTAAACCATAATTTAAAACCAGTCGCATACATGATAGCAACAGGGTATAGTCCACATTGAATGGTACATATTTCGGTAGATAATCTAAGCATTGTTTAATAACCCATAGCGGATAAGACTGAATCGACTCCAGCGTGGAATGAATAAATTCTTCAAAATTTTTCAATTTCCAAAATTCACAGCTTAACTTTTTCCACATTTGTTTATAGACAATTTCACTATTCTCTTTACTCGACAAACAACACAATTGTAAGGCTTTTTGAAATTTACCCAATCGTAGATAATGATCGAATAGACCAGTGTGTGTTGTCGACTTCAATCGAGTACACCGGACACAATAGTTGAAAATTTTTTGTTGACTTTTTAATGTATTATTAGGTAGTGAATTCGATTTTAAACATGTTGATAGTAAGATAATTTCAGATAGGCAATAGGCATGAGGAGAATTTGACAAATCTGTGGAATGTGTGGCAAACACTGGATAGGTAGGCAATTTTAAGCCCTCAAGTTTCCTGGCAACTTTAGGATAAAACTCAGTACCGCACTTTTTTATGTCTAACACATCAATTAAGCCGTTTTCATGTAGAACAGATAATTGAATATCTTGTTGATCTGTTATTTCTTGATCTGATTCTAAAGGTCTTGTCCACCAAGTGATTCTAAAAGGTCTATTATGCTTGTCCGGGGTTGGATCACCGGATATATTCGAGGCGTTGGGGTTCATATTCGAATTAGCTATTAAGAGTAGTAATTCACACGAGGGGACTAACCAAACTGAATATGAACCGGAAGATTGAAGACTACCGAGCAGCAGTTTTTCGGAGAGATTTGAAGATGCCAGAGTAGGCAGTGAGGTACTGAAATTCCCTAGAACCATAGAAGTGATAGCATCCTGATTATCACCAGTTAAACCACGGTTGTGACGAAAAAGTGTACACAACAACTGAATTGATATATCTTTACATGTTCCGTAAAAATTAGTTATTCCGTAAGATGTTTTATCAGACGGTGAAGATAACATAGTCGGGATTAAGTAAGGCGCCTTTTTTGATACATGATAACACATTAAACCAAGTTTTTGATGCATTAATTTTGATGTCTTAGTCATATTAGCATTAGGCAGGCTGGATACAACAAGTAGATTGGATGTCAGGTCAAATACACCTGCTAACAATGGAGAGGATGTTAACGGTTGACAAGGATTGTTTGGATAAATTCTCATCATCATACGACCTGGGAAATTTTTCGCCTTCCAATCTAAATGCCATAAATCTACATGACCTCTGAAATGTCCAACTAGAAGGTGGAATATATCGATGAAACTTAGAAAAACAATAGGGAAAAGAGGTTTCCTGTTGCTAGTTGAAGCGATGGATTGTGTAAACGGAGGTGGAATAAAAATACGACTACGTCGGATAGTTTGATTGATATCAGGCTTTTCATTTTCATCGATTGACAGATCAATTATATCTATGGATCCATTACTGTAGCCTATAGCAGTTATGTAGTATAGATTATCTGAGGCTGAGACTGGTTTTTCATTTAATGAATCTTGATCAAATGTTTCATCAGCTTTAAATGATACAAAACTAACTATACGCCATTGAGGAAATGGATCCACGTAACTCAAGTACCATTTTCTTGTTATCTTCGAATGATTTGCAACAATTTGATTGGTATCTGAATCATAATGCGTAAAACTCACAGTAGAAGACTGTAGTAGCTCGAATGGTGTAATATCATTTAACTGTTTTATGTGTTCAGTTGATAAAGAATTAGAACTTTGAAGTTTACGTGGAAGTTCCATTAACTCTAACCAATGAGTAGCAATCAGACATAATGCTTGTCCTTGAACAGTCTCTGATGAAAGATAACCAAGCTGCCAAGGACAATTATTTTCACGTAGATGAGCATAGCTGATTAATACTTGAGACGGTGGAAAGTATGCGGTGATTATTTCTGATATTTTTCTCCAACTATTTGAAAATAATTGATTAATTCGAGGAAATGAAAATGCATTGGTTTCTTTATCGGTGGATGCCTTTATTTCATCTGATGATGATAAGGAGAGTGAAGGATGTACGCTGTATAGGGAAATATTTCGGCAACGTAATAAATTCACAGCTACATAGTAACTGTTTTCTACTGACAGACTGGAATCCAATCTGATAGACCATTCAGCTAATTCATCGATAATGTGAGGATAATTCACATGATTATATTCATTTGATTTGACATTTTCACTGGCTGAATCGGATGGTCTGAAAAAGTGAGAAATAAATCACAGGTTAACACACAAACACACACAGGAAGGATGAACCACAATATAAGTCCTTTATTAGGAGTTATTTACAGGGAGCAAAATTTTCATATGCCAGACTATGAGCCACGCTTATAGTATCGTGGCTGGCGACACTACTCTGACTTCAGTTAAGCAGAGCCGGATTCGCAACTGGGAACGTCAAGTGTCATGGACAATGAAGCACACCATGCTGCGTATAGCGTTACAGTATTTATAGTAGATTAATGCTTGCATCATATTTAGAGAAAATATATCTTGTTGAATGATTTTCACTCAAACAGAGGTTCCATTAAGGAATTCATTTTAAATATACCATCTTAGAACTTTCTTTTGATGCTTTATTTATTTATGTGGAAATCATCATTAGTTAAATCACATTAAGTTTTTCAAATTTCAAATATACCAATTACATACAAATAAGAACACAATCATACAATAGATTATTATAGAAATAGTGGATATTCGCCTTTTAATAACCGGGATTACAATTTTGTGAATCTCGCAAAGCGATAATACTTTGGTCCGACCCCTTTATTCAGGAATTTTATGCAGTAGTGTGTAAAGATGTAGCTCATAACTATAATACCTGGATTTTAACTAGCGTATCAACTCTTCGAATCCCAACTGTGTCTCAAAGCTTGATACATGAAAAATCTATCCCGGATAACTTTATTCTGACAGAGTTCTAAATAACCTTCCATGTTCAAATGTAGCATCGAACCCCGTAGACATTTCATAACTATACCACATGAGTCAAAGCAACCCTGCATAAGAAATTAATAGAACTACGAGTACCGTATTACTTTCTTTGGTCACCTATATTAAAGAATCAACAAATTTTGTAAAAAAAAACTAATACGGTTTTTCAAGTGAAGTTAACAATAATGACCAGGAATGTGGTGGTTCCGCATAAATACCAGTTCAAGTAACAAAGTTTTACAACTTAACTGACTGACTCTCCCTTACTTAAAATCTCGCCTTTACCTTTAGCGTGGTTGCCTACTCTATAAGTGCCACAGAGACAACTATGATTAAAAATCCTAACAATATTTTTTACCTTCATAGGCAAGTTTAACAGACGGATGTGAGGCAAACTCCTCCAAAGTATACGTACTCTATGATAAATAGTCATATGTGACACCAGCAGTACAGTTGATGCAGGGTAACATATGTAAAATAAGCTTTCTGTATCCATGCTGATATTTCGATGGCACCCAGTCCAATAAAGCTAATGTAAATTGTCAAATATAACATGTAGTTTACACGTCCAATCATTTCATACCGTAACCTTAAACTAGAAGTCAATGTAGTTTAGTTCTGTAGATATGCATCTGCTATAAAACTTTTTACATCAGTACATAGACTTATAAGTCGAGACCCTCTGAAAGGTTTAATACAGTATTTCGCACTTGTCTTTAAAAACTCTGAAACCGTAAAGCGATGCTCCTTAATGTTTATATAAGTCAGCAAATACGATAGGAAACAAAAGCAAATGAGTGCATAAAATCCCAATTAGCCTACTAATTTATAAACATTTAACACATTAATCACAGCCCCATTTATTTCGATACCTTTAAAATAGAATTGCACATCCAGACAAATAATTATTTTGTGCGCTGGATGCAAGTTTTTGAGTGACAGTAATTATTTAACAAATCTTTTTCTGATAATATTGTGCCCGCCGTTTGGAAAGACATTAAAGTTGTACCCATACCTAAATCATCCACTGGAGTATGTGTCAAATTTAGACCCATTGCTATTACCTCTCATTTTTTTGAAAACTATGGAGAAATTACTTTGACTTAGTCTTGTACCTTCGCTTAAATCCTTTAATGACCCTAAACAATTCGCCTATAAGCACAGTAGAAGCACTTTAGATGCAGCTGACGTCTTATATCATAATATTGCTTCCAGTCTAGACAAGGGGGCTAAATTTGTTCTTTGTGCCTTCCTAGACTATAGATCTGCTTTCGACTCGGTCCCTAGGGACATCTTATTAAATAAACTTGCTGCTAGTCAAACAGAATGTTGGGCTGTTAACTGGTTACATTCCTATTTCTCAGATAGAAAGCAGTACACCGTATATAAAGGGAAGTCTTCTACCTCATTGCCTACTGAAGCTGGTGTCCCTCAAGGCGCTGTTCTTTCTTCTTTTCTTTTTTCTTTCTTCTTGCATGACTTGCCTCACTCTGATGAAATAAACTTTGTGAAGTACGCTGATGATTTGATATTTTCAATGGCTGTTAAATCCCAGCTAGATTGTACTAAAATAAATAGCTTTCTATCGGGAGTCAATAAATGGTCTGAGTCTAACCGTCTTAAACTGAATCCTTCTAAGTGTCAAACTGTTGATTTCAGCTTAAGATGTAAACGACAGTTAAAAGAAGTCATCGATTTTCATGACAGTTGTAAAATTGACGACAATGATATAGGAATCAAATCAGAAATTAAGTATCTTGGACTCATTCTCTCTTCTGATCTCTCCTGGTCTTCCCATGTCTTAGCAATCTCCAGTAAAATATTCCGCCTGACATTTTACATTAAGAAGTTAAGACACTCGGGTATAACTCAACCCCTCCTCTTACAATTCATAAACTCTTGCATCCTACCTATTCTTCTTTATTGTTCACCCTTATTCTTTCCTGGTTTGCTTAAAAAAGTCATATGTCACAATTCGTAGAATACTGAAGACTGTCAGTAGGGTGAGTGGTGTCCCAGTGGACCACATAGTTAACGTCGTTGTCGATAGGCACTTGACTTCGTGCAATAAATTTGCTAAAGGGATTTTGTTTGACTTGGAGCATCCACTTTACCCTCAGCTTTCACCTTGCATCTCCTCAGGTAGAACAAGGAGTAACTTCATAAAACTGTATGCTCGCACGTCTAAGTATAAGAAGTCTATGATACCATACTTGGCACGTATTTTATGTGATGAAAATAGTGTCAGGCAACAATTAACTAACCTTTTTTCATCTAGTAAATAAACAATTTCCTCCATCCATTCAAGTTTTACTTTTATTACTTCTTTTATGTTTGTGGTCCTGTTACTTCTCTGTTTTACTCTCATAATTGCAAACACCAACTTATCTCCATGACGGCAGTAATCTTTGTTTTTCCCCTCACCATATCATGTAAAGAGAACATTATATTCAATATTTTTAAACATGTTAGGATTTCTATACCACATTGCCAATACTGTGTGAAACAAGCCAACGGCAATTTTCACAAGTATTATTATTACCCTAGCTGTTATCATTATTATTGTTATTTCCATTTTATATGCTGCATGTTTTTGATACTACCTCTATTGTAAATGTGGAAAATTTTCTGTGTGATTAATTTTATTTATAATTTGAGGAAATTAGATGCAGTATTGTGATTAATGCTGAAAATTCCATTCTGTATCACAAGTACTGTTTTGGTATAAAGTAAATCACTATTATTATTATTACATAAACCAAATAAATGTGTGATTACCTCTCCATCCTACGAATCACAAGGCTATGTTTCGCCCGAAGGTCAAAACTATGAGGCTAAATTTCAAAATTCAATAGCCTTCCAATATCCAATATCCTGATTACGAGCTAGTATAAACCAGTGATTTCTTTGAGCTCGCTTCTTGATTGTGAGGTAGAGGTTCCAGATCTTCGGTGAGCTTCTGCGTAGTAAGTCCCGACACTCGACTGCTTTAGCTCTGGTAGACTCCAGGAGGAGTGGTGCGGGGATTGGTCGAGATGTGGTTTGTAGTATGCAGTATGTTAGAACTGTATTGCTGCCGTGAATGGAGTTTGACCTAACTCCCCTTGGTCATTCGGTGTAGTCATAAAAGCAGAATAGTAATAATAATAATAGGTTGTAGTGTAGATAATATAGGTTGAGATAAGTGGAATAATAAAGGTGACCTAAGGAAAAGATAGAGTGAGAGAAGGCAGAATAGGTCGTGGGGATTTAGTTTGTACGCTTATTCATTGACAGTTTGGTTTCAAATTTTATGAGGATAAGCCATTGAGACACAAACCTTGCATTTCTGCATGATTGTCTAGCTTCCGCTTAAAAATCTCCAGAGATGGCGCTGTAATCACGGCCGCCGGTAAAGCGTTCCAGAGATGGCAAACACGAAGCGAAAAGAAATGTGTTCGCACCCGAGTCTTTGGTCTCTGGTGTGCTATCCTTAGCGGGTTACCTCGTGGAAGCCTATAATCTCTTAATGGCAGGATGCTTTTATTTGGGTGGGCCTGGTCATTTAGGATTTGGTAGGCGGTGATGAGGTCTCCCCTGTGCCTTCGGTAACTAAGTGTGAAAAGTCCTAATTTCTTTAGTCTTTCCTCATATGATTTGTTGCGGAGGCCGATCACCCATTTTGTCGCTCGTCTCTGGACACTTTCTAGAATGTTTGCATCCCTTTTGAGTAGCGGAGGTGCAATGATATTATGCACCTCAAGGTGTGGCCTCACATATGCCTTGTATAGCCTTAAGAACAGTTCGGGAATGAGAGCTCCCAGCTGCCTGTGCATAAAGTGTAATGTTGCGTAGGCTTTGGCAACGTCCCTCGAGTAATTTCCACTGGTGTCTAGCTTTTCTGTTAGAATAAGACCTAGATCACGCTCTGATGGAACACAACTCAAGTTCTGGCCACCAAGGGTGTAATTTACACTCTGTGACCTGCCGGAATGAAGCTGCACTACTTTGCACTTCTTTAGATTGAAAGGCATTCCGTTAGCCAAAGCCCAATTTCCCAGAGTTTGCAGGTCAGCCTGCAATCTCTCTGAGTCTTCCGATGAGTTTATTGCTTCTCACAAGTTAACAACAACCATACTGTTTTCACTGCACTTACTTCTTGGCTTTGGGGCAACCCTTCATGATTTCCGGCAGGTTTGAGCCTGGTCTTATCTATCACTTTTTCGTCGTATTTTTGGTGGAATCCAGGAAGAGTTGGAGGTGGTTATATCCAGTCTCCTGTATCGGTTTTATGAGCTAGTGTAAACCAGTTTACCTTCTTTGTGCTCCCCTCTTGGCTTTGAGGTAAAGGTTCCAGGTCTTCAGTAAACTTCTGCGTAGTTTTCCCCGCCACTCGACTATTGTAGCTATCGCAGACTCCAAAATAATAATATGTGATGGATAGTTGTTACTGGTTCTGACAATATCTTAATTGGACCTTCCACCTGTTAGTCAGAGACAATAAGATAACAGTAAAAATAGTAGTAATAAGAGCTGAATTACAGACCTCTAGGGGCAGAAGAATTGAGAGAATATAAAAAGAAATGAATGAGTAGGATATAGAGAAGTATGCGACGAGGAGGACATCGTGGTTCTCGGAGATGGTGCGCTGAGCGAGAACCCAGCGTTATAATGTAGTAACTGAGTGATGTATCTCAATTTTAGTGGTGTGGCAGTTGGTTGCAGGCAGCTGATGTGTTGCTGCTTGATAATGCGAACGCCCCTTCAAGTTTTCTGGTGATAACACCTCTGTCTTGGCTGTTGATAAAGCCTTCCTTTGGCGGCACACTCGAAACAAAAGGAGGCGGAAGTGCAGTGGAGCTTTCGTATTTTGATAAGTGACGTTTTCGTGAACTGCGATACAAGAGTCCGTAATGACCCGGAGGCAGGATGACTTTTCTTTTCTTATAAGCTGTGACTGGGTTGCCGCTGAATCGGCGGATCTAAGTGCGGGAAGATCTAGTATCTCTGGCTTTTCTTTCGGCAGTTTGTTCCCAAGATGCCCTCTCGCTGTCCCCTTTACATCTTTCCCGGGAGGTTAGCGTCACTTTCACGCGATGGCAACACTGTGATGTTACGCACCTAAGTGTAAGGTAAAAATAGGTTTCACATAACACTGCGATTAGTCCATATTGCTGTGACCATGGGGGGTTTAAGTCAGTTGGATCGATATGGACTTTTGTTCAGCTTCAGAGAAACACTTCCGTCTTGTACCAAGTCTTCCAAATTTACTGGTTCTGTCTATATCGTGTCTGAAACCTTCGAAATTTTCCTCGTTCTCCGAATCCTTAGATCACTGGTATGAAAAACTCAGACGTACAAAGAGCATAGCAGGTCGTCGATATATGTAATGTACCTTAACGTTCCTAGAATATAACCATGTGAGAGTTCAGATAGTAGGCTGCATGCAGATGAATGGACGGTAGTGAATTTTGTGCAGGATTCTCCTTTGTCAAGATAATCCGTGAAACTCAGAGTAGGCAGATCCGGTGAGCCTATTTGCAAAGGCCGATTTCAAAATGAATGGCGTCAAATGCGTTCGAAAAACCCTGGAAAACAAAACAGAATGAGATATTCATATACAGCCCATTATTTTCATAGAGACAATAGATCTGTTGTACAGGATCCTTCTCGTCCACAACTTTGTTACGCTTCACGGAGCGTGTTTTTGTCCCTGTTAAGGTGTTTTCTAATATGGTTACCAACCAGGCCTTCAAGCACCTGCAACACTTCCAAGAGTTATGCTACAGATCTGTGATAAATATTTTTTCGCTGAAACCTATGAAAAACGATAGGGAGTGAAATCCCTCCACCCTTCGAGGAGTGTAAAAAGAAGGCCAATTGAAGGCGTATGTGTGCTATTTCATAAAAGCCCCCAGGATATAGCCTCATCCTGAGGAGCGTCTTTAGTTGAGTTTCAGCATTTTACATAAGCTGGGATGAAACCATTTAGGGTTCTAGTGAAGCAGTCCGTTTATCTCACTAACCGTGCCGTTGAGTTACTTGTCAAAGGCCGATTTAAGTGTCTAACAATCCTCACACAAGCGGGATACCACTTACTTATTCTATGGTGTGCATGTAGGGCCTCTACAACAATGTATGCTATGGCCACAAAGATGTAGTAAATAATAGAGGAATTCAGAAGAATGGAACGATCGAGTAAGAACGAAGATATGTTCTCTTCCATCCGTGAGGATTTCTAAATATCTGAAATCATGGAGACTATGAAGTCCAAGGAAGTTTGTGGGTCAGGATCAGTCATCAGTGTGAAGAAATACAAGGAGAGTAAGAGGAAGTGAATCAATTAACAATAATATCAATAAAGTTAATATTCATATGAACATATAAATTTACATGAAAATGCATGCCATTTTTACAGGCACTATCAAGTATGATATAATCTCAAATCTTAGATTGTCTACAAGTTAATCATATTTCAACTGTTAAATATTTCATATATATGTAAATACACTGATTGTCTGAACCAGGCCTTATAGTTGTTGAATTGTTCAGTTGTCCTCCAGGTTGAGCGGGAAAATCGACTTCGTTTCGTTTTCATCCCGTGGTTGTAGGCATACGATAATCAACCAATATTGAGGCAAGTACAACTTTTACAAGGGATTGAAAGCTGTTTTTAGAAAAGCAAAAGTGCTAAGGTGAATCATAAAATTGTAATGAAATAGGTAAGTGCAAGTATCATTAATAAATGCATTTATAAGGGAAACTCCCTAGGCTGACAACGCTCATTTGCAATGTATAATGCTACACGTATATCTCGTACTATCATGATGCCCACTTTTGGTTTTAATACATTTATCCTCAGTTGTGCCAGTTGTTTTTATTTTATACCTTTTTGTGCATTCGGTGCACAGCTGTACCCTTCAGAGAATAGGAATAGAACAAGTCGAATCAAATTCATAAAGAGCTATAAATGTTAGGATTAATGGAATATAATGAGGATCAAGTAAAGACGTTATTAGAAAATGAGTGATATAAGACATTTTGAACTGGTATTTAAAGATCTGACAATGGATAGCAAGTTAATTTATAAGATGCCCCATAAATCTGTGCAGAGCCCATGTGGTCGCATCTTAACAATAGGCTGAGCGAATGGTATATATTTAAAGGTAGAAGCATGATCTGTCTAGGCGTTCGTTATTATCTTTTTCAAGATTAAGATCTAAGCCCTCATTAAAATCAGAAATATCTCGAGCCGTCAAATTGCGTATTGCTGTTCCTGCAGAATGGGGCGATTCACCTCAGTGACCACCACCATGTCTACTGATTAGCTAGTCAGTCCTTGCCTTGTCTCTTCATTTTTCTAGAGCGTTTGTAAACGTTTCTTTAAATGTTGCTTTCATAGAAATCCAATGTTCTTCCGCACAGGTTTCCTCAGTGGTGCCGCTTAGTGTATCCGACTTTGCTCTGATATCTGTAAGGAGACTGTCAAGGAACTTATCCCTAAGTCCCAAAAGAATCCAAATTGCGTTGATAATCCGTGTCTAAAGAGAGGCTGGCTTAGGAACCGAAAGGTAACCCGGAAGTTCCAGATGCCACAAAACAAAACGAACAAATGAATAGAAACTGCCCCAGACGGCGCCACAAGGTGTTTTGATATCACTGTTATACACTTGTCAGCGTGTTCCAATTTTTGGAAAAAACCATATGTCAAGGAAATTATCCCTAGGTTCCTAAGGTTACGAAGACGCTCCGCAATGATAAATACAGTGTACACTATTCGACTTTAACACCAAAACACCAGTATAGTAAGAAGGAAGTCATATTGTTTGGCAATTGAAGCGG